TTTTTTTCAAGCATCAACTTTTATACTCAGAATAAAGTTACAGTTATCTTATAATGCATATATTTATTTATTTCTCTAAGTTACTAAAGTGAAATAATTTAGACAAGAGCTTTAAAATCATTTCTTTGTATAACTTACTTATCTTTAGTTCAACAATCCAATAAGGTTTTAAACTACGAGGAGTGTGTGGTAGATGTATACACACTGAGAACTTGTCGACTGATATGGAACATGTTGACTGCATTACTGGGTACACTGAGAGCAACTAAAAGTCACAGGAATTGGTGACTGCAAACCAGTAGATATGACACACTTGGGTGACAGTAAGGGCTTGGGAAAGACAAAACAGGGCGGCAGAGAACCATGGCCACCCCAGCAGCTGTCAGCTGAGCTGTCAGGAAGGAAGTACAATTGTGTGTGTGTGTGTGTGTGTGTGTGTGTGTGTGTGTGTGTGTGTGTGTGTGTGTGTGAAAGGAAGGGACCGTCCCTCATCTGGGTGGAGACTCATTCACACTGAGCCTGCTGAGACCTAAGAGCAAGCAAACAGGCTATGAAGGGATTTGCTGTTTTCTTTTTTTTTTTTTTTTTTTTTTTTTTTTGGTTTTTCGAGACAGGGTTTCTCTGTGTAGCTTTGCGCCTTTCCTGAAACTCACTTGGTAGCCCAGGCTGGCCTCGAACTCACAGAGATCCGCCTGGCTCTGCCTCCCGAGTGCTGGGATTAAAGGCGTGCGCCACCACCGCCCGGCGAGGATTTGCTGTTTTCTAAGGACTGTGTAAACCCCAGCCCTGTCTCAGATGGCACTGTTTGTGTATTAACTCCAGGTTTTATGCAGTGGTATGGGCTAAGCAAATGAAGAGACTCTTCAGATTGGTTTGATCTTGTCATACACATCATCAGCCTAAAAAAAATTGCTTACCCTTTATTTCAGAAAATTCCCAGGTCTCATAGTTGACTGTGTGGACAAACACATATTTATGCAAATGAGCAGCAGAAGTGGAGACACAACACCGAGTCAGGAGAGGCTGATCCAGCTGCGGCACTCTGTGGGGTGCAATGCAGGCAGCTGACCTGAGTGAAGCAACCCTCCCTCTAAGCACCAGTGTAGTTGGTTGTTTATGCTCTTTTGGGGGATCCACCAGCCAGCTACCAAATAAATCACACAGAGACTTATTATTACTTATAAATGTCCAGCCTTAGCTTGGCTTGTTTCTTGTCAGCTTTTCTTAACTTAAATGATCTCATCTGCCTTTTGCTTCTGGACTTTTTCCTTTTCTTACTTCTATAGTCTTACTTTCACTCTTACTCTGTGGCTGGCTGGGTGGCTAGGTGGCTAGCCCCTTCTTTTCTCACTTCTTGATCTCCTCTTTCTCTCCTTTTCTCCTATTTATTTTCTCTGCCTGCCAGCCCCACCTATCCCTTCTCCTGCTTTGCTATTGGCTGTTCCGCTCTTTATTAGACCAATCAGGTGTTTTAGACAGGCAAAGTAACAGAGCTTCACAGAGTTAAACAAATGCAACATAAAAGAATGAAATATATCTTTGCATCATTAAACAAATGTTCCACAGCATAAACAAATGTAACAGATCTTAAAATAATATTCTACAACATACCAGTGTGAAACAATTTCCATGAAGGATCACTAAATAAAAAAAGCAAGGTGCAGAATGGTCACAACACTCTATCACTTATCTTGGAAATTGCATGTCTATTAGATCTATGCTAGATGATATGCAGAGACTCTGAAGGAATACTGACACCTTTGATTGTAGCCAGGTGGCTAGGGAATGGGAGGGGGGAGGGAGATGATGACACAGGTCCTTTTCACCATGTGTGTCTTTGACATGTGTTTACTTAAGATCTATGCTAAACACTTAAAAACACCAGCATCACTATAGATATTAATTTAAGGCGAATAACCTGTGGAAATAAAATTGGAAAAATTGTTCCATTAAAGTTTAAAAATTTATTCTAAGAGTAGCTTTTAATTAAGTCCTAATCAACATTAATTGTACAGCTAGCAGCCATTCATGAGCACTGTTTCAGCAACTGGAGAATCGAAGAATTCTTGTTTAAACATGGACCATTTCTTAAAGGAAAGGCTGCCATGCATTGTTGAAGTCTAACTGTTTAACCAGCCCAGATACAGTCAAAGCTAGCTGCTCACAGGCGTCTCTCTAGCAATGCTGCCGTCGCTCCTCCTCCCTCTCTTCCCCTCCCCTTGCATCTTTAACCATTTCCCTCGCCCTCCTTCTCTTCTTCCCCTTCCTCCTTTTATCCTGTCTCCTCCTCCCCCTTCCTTCTTCCTCTTCCTCCTCCCTTCCTCTTCTTTCTCCCTCCTTCATCCTCTTCCATCTTTCCTTCTCCCCCTCCTCCTTTCTCCTCTCTTTCACCTGCGCCCTTTGTTTCCCCATGGCTCTTCCCACAGGGTCTCATGGCGTAGCCCAGGCTGGCTGGAACACAGTCTTCTTGCTTCAGCCTCCTGAGTGCTGGTGTTACAGACCACACTCAGTTATGTATCTTCTTAAACATGACTTTAGGCAGATTAACTAAGCTCCAGTTTCTCCATGTAGTAATGTCTATAGTAATGGTGCTTGAGTGAGTTATTTTGATGATGAAGAGGAATTCAGTGCATGGGAATTTGCTCACTACTTCTTGTGAAGTGAAGGGCAGTGGGTGACAGCTGCTCTTATGAAAAATTGTTGCCCTCTGCTTTTTCAATATGGGTTTCATTAGTTTTTGTCAGCATGATATAAAGTCAAGTCATTTGGGAAGAAGGAACCTTATTTGAGGAGATGTGTCCATCAGAGTGGACTGTAGGCAAGTCTATAGGGCACTTTCTTGATTAGTGATGGATTTGGGAGGGCCCAGCTCACTGTGGATGGTGCCAACCCTGAGAAAGGTGGTCCTAGATAGTATAAAAAAGCAGGCTGAGCTAGCCAATGAGCAGCACTTCTTCATGCTTTCTGCTTCAGGTTCTGCCCCAGGTTCCTGCCCTAACTTCCCCCAGCGACAGACTGTGATGGGGAATGTAAGCCAAACAAACCCTTTCTTCCCCAAGTTGCTTTTGCTTATGATGTTTCTAATACCAATAGAAAGCACATTAGTATATTGGGGGACCTCACCCCTAAACCATAAGTGCTGTCATTGGTAATACAGCAGCAGCTACAGCCACTGCCTGAGGAGAACGGCAAATGATGGGGCATAGTGTAGTCAGGTCTTGAAGAGGAAGGACAGTTTCAGTTGGAGAAATGGGGAGGGCATTTTAGACAGAGGGATGAAGTGAGAAGAGGCCCAAGTGGACACAGGGCAGCCTTAGGGACAGCAGCAAGCCGCTTAGGTGAAGCACACAGCCTATGGGGTGGGGCAGAGCTTTGTCGGGAGTTGAGGGCTGGTGACAGAAGAGCCGGTCCTGCAGGTGGAAGCCAGAGAGTGGAACATTATAGAAAAGATAATAGAAAAGATAAGGTGGGGCGGGGGCGGGGGGGGGGGGGGGGGAGAGGAGATGGAGAGTCAGCATTAGTGGAGCAAGTAGCTGAGGACAAAATTAAGATGGAGCACAGTCGTTAAGGGGACAGAGTTCTGAGATGGATGGAAGAGGAGCTAGGGTTGGAGATGTGGGAGAGCTCGGCGTGGAGGAAAGGGAAGCAAAGGCCTTTGTGTCTGTGGACTTCTATTTTCTTGAAGTTTTGAACAAAATGATCTGTGGGGTGTGTGTGTGTGTGCATGTGCGCGCACGTGCATTTATCACAAGAGGTAAGTAATGCCTTGGATTATCCATTATAAAGATAGAAAATCATCAAGGCTGGCAGAGCATTTCTGAGGTCCAAGCTGGTGATAAAAGCCCTTTCTCATGTATTTTTCCACAGGTGGTTTTAACTGCACCCTAGACCTCAGAGGCAGAAGGAGATGGGGAGGGCGGGGTGGAGGTCAGGAGAGCGCTCTCCTAGCCCTGGGTTTGCTGCAGCACTACATAAACTGGGTGTGGTGACTCATGCCTGTAATCCCAGCACTTGGGAGTTAGAGACAGGAGGATGAGAAGTTCAAAGTCGTCCTCGGCTACATAGTGAGTTTGAGGGGAGCTTAGGATAGAGATCCTTCTAAAAAAGAGAGGGGGCAAGCAGAGTCCCCAGGAGCAGAGGAGCCAGGATAGTGATGGGGTACAGGTGATGGACATTGGAGGAGGCAGTGAAGCTGAGGGCAGGTGTGCCAATGAGGAGAGAGGACAAGAAACAGTCCTGCAATTGCAGGAGAGGGCACGTCGGAACGCGGGGCCTTAGAGGATTGTTTGTGCTTTCCTGGAAACAGTGGTTAAAGAGTTGCCTAAATTTGTTCGTACCTTTGGAGTAAGTATGCCTAGGGCTTACTGCAGAATTTTTTCCTTTTTTTGGAGAGCTTCTATGAGGGCATCTAATTACTGGTGGAGGGTGAATCTGGACTGTGTATCCAAGTGGAAAGAGCAAGGCTTCAACAGAGCCATTGAAATGATCCATGTGAGATCATTATTGACAAGTCCGCTGATTAAGCCAATTAGAAGTTTTAAGTCCTTTTATTGATGGCCAGACTAAGAGTGGCCTCGTGCCTCTGAAAAGTCTCTTGGTGCCCAAGCTTGGGGGTGCCGAGTTTTTAAAGGCAAACCCCACAAAGACCATGACTTATGACAAAGTTAGATTAGAATCAGAACAACCTGGACACTTTCATTTCTGGCAGAGCATAGTCATTATTTTAGACACAACATGCCAATCATTTTTGCCTTTTTTCCTAGTTATTTTAGTTTACTTAATTATTTTAGTTAATATATCTGAACCACAGTCCAGGCCATGGAAATCTCAAATGTGTTTCCAAGGCAGACCTGACCATTGTGCGGATGGGGTAGAGGTCTGAGAACTGTCTAAGGAAATGCAAAATGGAGTCAGAAACAGGCGGCATTACCTTAGTTACATCAGCTTGCCGTCCCCGTTCTCCATCGGGCAGCTAGTGACTTTCCCCTTTGCTTTTGAAGGTGAAGCCAGTCATCCACAGCAGGATCAATGTGTCTGCTCGCTTCAGGAAATCGCAGCACGAGCCTTGCACCATTTTGTAAGTTGGAGCCCTTTCTATTTCGGGGTAGAATTAATTGGCTGTGTACTTTCCTTGGGGTTTGGGGTTTGAATGTTATGAGCGTAACTGTTCCAGATGTGTTGCCTGTTTTTCCTTTCCCTCCATAGCTTGATTGCAAATGGAGACCTCATAAACCCAGCTTCTCGACTCCTCATCCCTAGAAAAGCTTTGACTCAGTGGGATCACATACTGCAGATGGTCACAGAGAAAATAACTCTTCGGAGTGGGGCTGTCCACAGGTATGTGCCATGGCATCTTCCCACAGGGGGTGGCTGGGAATCCTTGAAGACGTTCCCACGGGCTCTGGAGTCACTGGCCCCTAGATCTGAAGTTTGGCTGACCCCGTTAAGCTCACTGTGCCTCAGTTTCTTTTTATGAAGACTGTGCTTTATAATAGCACTTCAGTGGGGGTTGTTTCAAACAGTCCTTGGATGCTGGAACACATCAAGAGACTTCACCTGCTTTTGTGATTTTAGTGTAGAGTAATAAGCAAGCATCATTCCACCTTAAGGGAGAGGGACTTCTTGGCCAGAACCAGCTTCTTGATTCTTAGTTAACTGTCCTTCCCTCTCCCCCCAGGCAAGACTGTTTGTTCAGTGGTTTGAACTGTTTGCCTCAGGCGAAAATGTCAGAAGCTAGGGAGAGTAGATGGGCTTAAGGAGGAGACAGGTGAGGGAGGATAAGTGAGATGATCTAAAATTAAACCCAAAAGCATTTAGTGAAATTTAAGCGGACATTTAAAGCATGGTGTAGCCTATGAAATTATCTCAAAATTTTTACTGCGTTTATTTATTTACTTGTGTGTGTGTGTGTGTGTGTGTGTGTGTGTGTGTGTGTGTGTGTGTATTGGGGGAGCATGTGCTACAGTGCACATATGGAGGCCAGAGGACAACATTTGGAAGTCATTTCTCTCCTTCCACCATGTGGGTCTTGGGGTTCAAACCCAGGTTGTCAGACTTTTGGCAAGTGCCTTTACACACTGAACTATCCCACTAGCCCTGAAATGATCTCTCTACGGAGGCTAACTTATGTCTTTTCTTTCAGATGGAGGATTACAAATAACATGTAGATGTACAGAACACATTAAGAGTGTGTATGTAGTGCATATATGCATGGACACACACGTACACACTCACATACATCTCCAAATCCAAGCAGTTCCCTCAGTACTATCTCCTCCTCCTTCTGGATGCACACGAACACATTCTTGCCTGTTTGATCCTTACATGCCATATACACGCGCGTGCGCGCACACACACACACACACACACACACACACACACACACACACATGCATACACACACACACCAAAGCACAGCCACGGCCTAGAGTAAGTTCCCAAATGAGTGCACATCATGTCCTTCGGTTGAATGCATGTTTACATATATTATCTTACAGTTTTATCATCACTGAAAATTTAAGTATAAACTGTTTTCATTGAAAGTAGTGCTCAGCGTATGACAAAAATTTAAGCAGTACAGAAAGGGTAAATTTAAAGTATTTCTCCCACCACTGTCTCTTTCCTGAGTAGTTTTTGAACCCTAGAAATCCAAACCAGAAATGTTCTATGCATGTACAAGTATATACACTATTGGCTTTTCCCCTTCCTCTTCCCTCCCTTTCTTCCTCCTTTCCTACTCCCCTCCCTCCTTCTCTCCCTCTTTCTTTCGTGTGTGTGTGTGTGTGTGTGTGTGTGTGTGTGTGTGTGTGTGTGTATGTGTGTGCACGGAGGTCAGAGAAGGATGTTGGATACTCTGCTTTATCACTCTCCTCTCCCCTTCCTTGAGAGTCTTTCTTTGAACCTCGAGCTAGGCTGGCTGCCAGCAAGCCCTGGCAATCCTCCTGTCTCTGCCCCCGTTTCTCAGTGTTAGGGTTATAGGCACAGGTGAGACATGTACTCAGGAGGCAGAGACAGGAGGTCTCTGGGGCTTGCAGGATGTCAGCAACCTTAGCTCCAGATTCAGTAAGAGACCCTGTTTCAAAGGAATAAGATGGAGAGTGATAGGCCAGACACCACACCACTCCCTCCGACCTTTTCTTCAAGTGTGTATATGGCCAGTACACCACTTCATGTGTTCATAATGTCACACACATATGTTGCACTCATGCACAAGTGCGTTTCGTTGTTTCTTGATTTTTATTATTTGATATACAGTACTGTCTGTTGATTTCCCCCTTCCATTCTAGGTATTTTTTATAATTGCTTTACATTTTAAATGAATTAACTAAGCATTCTTATGAATTAAGTAGTGTTATTCTCTTTCAGTAGACATGACATATGAGACCCAGAGAGGAAAGTTACATGTCCAAGATTAAGCAGACACTGGGTAGCATGGCTGGATGGCAAGCCTCACAGGCAGTCTGGAGCTGATGCTCTTAGTTCTCAGCTAATTTCTAAATAAATGACATGTGTTTCCATCCCATTTTGCTTGATCTGTCATGATCCTTACACATTTGTTTTACTGGTTTTCAGCCACGCTTTATGTATTACAGAAGTTGGCCTTTTTTGTGTAAGTTTCAAATGTGTTTCCAGTTTGCATTTTCTTTGTTTTGTATATAAACATCTTGAGTTTTTAGTCCTTCTTTGTGTTCATTAATTTTATCACTAGCTCCAGTCTTCCTGGCTCTAGAATTATAAGAATAATTTTATGTTGTTTCATCTTGTGCTTTTAACTTTTATTTAAACCTTAGCTACTTTTTGGTTTATTTTGGTTTCAGTAGGGAAATCAACATCACATATTTTTAAAAGAAAATACAGGTTTACCTTTTGATATCTACATACATGTTGACTTCCCCAAGAAATAATATAAAATATACAAAGATATATATAGGCAATTTCTTGTCTAAATGTATCTCCTCTTTTTTTTGTGTTTTTTTTTAATTAAGAAATTTTTTATTCATTTTACATACCAATCACAGATCTCACTCACTCTTCCCACCCCTCCAGCCTTCCCCCATTCCCCCAACCCCCTTTCCCTCCTACAAGAAGGTAAGGCTTCCCATGGGGAGTCAGCAGACCTTGGTATGTTCAGTAGAGGCAGCTTCAAGCTCCCCCCTCCCCCCCGCTTCTTTCTTATACATGAACAAATTCTTAGATGGAAATAAGTAGATAAGCAAGCACTAATAGAAATAAAAATACATGTTCTCCATATACTTGAATATTTAGAGAAATTATCTTTTTTCTTGAAACAAGGTCTTACTTTATAGCCTTGGTTGGTCTGGAACTGACTCTGTAGCCTCAAACTCTTGGAAATCCTCCTGTATCTGTCTCCTGAGTGCTATGATCTCAGGTGAGAGCTAATACATCCAGTTGAGAAATGTAATTATTAATTCAGTGGTAGACTTGGTGCTGCTCACTTGGGAGAGCCCACTCTCCCTTAATAGAACATTGATAACTCTTTATATTATTCATCAGTATATTAATTTAATAGTAGAATATCAATATATCTCTCTGTTATGTATCAGTATATTTACTGATAGCATCCACATTAATTGGTTCAACTCCCTACTCGTGATTCTTATGCTTTGAAGCAACAGGAAGAAGCAGGTCAATCGAGTCTATATTGAAGAAACATAATAAAATCACAGGTTAGAATTTATACAGTGGCTTTATCTGTCTGCAGACTAAACCAGCCAGTTCTTGGCTGGGAGGTCCTGGAGTCCATAGTTACACTGCCTTGTAATTTCTAGTGTAACAGCTAACTGCTGATTTGGATCTGTTTTGGAGGAAAGAGGGTGAGGAATGTCTGGCTGTCTGGCACTTGGCCAGGGCTTCTCAGCCAGGTGTGATTTTGTTTCCAGGGGACATGCATCTGTGTCTGGAGCCATTTCTGGTCAGCACAACTGGACATGTGAACAGCTCCTCCATCTAGTAGAGAGAGACTGGGGTGCTCTCAGCATCCTACAATAGACAGGGGAGAGTCTGGGGTGCTGCTGGGCAGTCTACAATAAGCAGGGGAGAGTCTGGGGTGCTGCTGGGCAGTCTACAATAGACAGGGGAGAGTCTGGGGTGCTGTTGGGCACCCTATGATTGGTAGGACAGCTTCCCTGATGGAGGACTGACTACATTTCCTTCGCTTAGGATTGTTGGTCTCGATGAAGCAGGATAAGCAGAAATCTGGGTTGTGTTGCTAGTTAGATTGGTGATCTCAATGAAGCAGGATAAGCAGAAATCTGGGTTGTGTTGCTAGTTAGATTTATAGAGTTAGAAATACTACATTATAAAAAGATGTTAACATCTGCATGCTAACTCAGAACTGCTACTTTTCAGGGCTTTTGTGGATATTTTCAGTGTTCTTCAGGGCCAGCTGATAGATCAATGGATCTGCTTTTTTCCCTCGTTGATACAAAGTCTGTAGTCCTGGATAGCTAGTCTGGAACTCACTATGTAGCCCAGGTTAGCCTTGAACTCATGCTGTTTCTGTCATAGCTTTCCTAGTGACAGAAGGAATTTTATTATTGTTATTAACCTTTTTATGTACTTTTTTATGTAAACTTTTCTAACACATTATGTTGAAACCCTACCAACTACTAGCTTCTATTTACAGTCTTCAAAATTGCATTATCTTCCTGGTTTAGTTTTCTAGCGGCCTACTTTCCTCTCTTTAAAAGAATTCTGTAGATAATTTAAACCATCTAGTACAAAAATCAGTGTCCTTACAATAAGTGACCTATTAATGGCAGTCACAGGCGCGGTTTACAGTGAGGGAGGCTCTTGAGCCCCACAGCTCTGGGAGGGCCGTGCTCGCTCTCCTGCTTAGGCAAGGCTAGGGAAGGAGACAGAAGCATGCATGCTATGCAGTTCTGCGTCATTAGCGCTCGCTTGCCCCTGCCCTTCTTTCCTCTCACCTCTTTTTTTTCTGACCCAGTTCTGTGTGTTTGGCTGTAGTACCTTGGCCAGAGGCGATCCTTAATAGAGAGTGGCAGGAAGCTTGTTGGCCTATGAGTGTACCAGAAAATACGTGGAAGCAGGGTGGCCAAACACATCAGTCAGTCTTCTGGGAAGCTCAGCTTCCTTTCAACACGTGGGGCTGGTGAGATCGCTCAGCGGGGGTAGGTGCTTCCTTGCTGCACAAGCCGGAAGGGCTGAGTGTGATTCTTGGAAGGAGAGAACCAATTCCTGAATGCTGTCTTCTGACCTCTATCCACACTTAAACCACGGCACACACATGCCATCTCCCTAAATACTAACAAATGAAAATAAGTACATTCTATACAAGTAACTTTTTTTCCCCTCTAAAATCCTCCTATGGTACCAGAAGGGGTCTCTGTGCTGGACTGCTCATTGATGGCGCCTGTTCAGCCAGATAGTGCCTGGATCTCTGGTATGATGGGAGACTGCTGTTGAATCTCTTAACTTCACAATCAGTAATTGCAAGAGTAACAGAGGAGCCGAGTCAAGAATGGAGTCCCCTTATTTAGCTCTGGTTCTTAAGCAGCTCTCTAAATGCTTATTGAAATTCTAATTGTCGGCATTGGTGTTTTGACAGGCTTTATACTTTAGAAGGAAAACTGGTTGAGAACGGGTCAGAGCTGGAGAATGGGCAGTTTTACGTGGCCGTTGGCAGAGATAAGTTTAAGAGACTGCCTTACAGTGAGTTACTTTTTGACAAGTCAGCAATGAGAAGGCCTTATGGGTAAGTCTTCATCCTTGCTCACTCACTCTCACTCTTTAGTTACTGTTTGAAGAAGCTCTGGAGCAATGTTAGTGTAAAGGGAGGAGGGTGGTGGTGGTGAAGAGTGGGCATGGCACAAGAGAGGCCGTTATCTTATGTGTTCCATCTGTTTCAAACGTATAAACGTAAGTGTGTAATCGATGGTAAGTGTGATGGTACACGGTATTCCAAGCACAGAGGCGGAGGCAGTAGGATCAGGAGGTTAAGATCATCCTCAACTAAGTAGTAAGTTCAAGGCTAGCCTCTCTCAAAATCAAACAAAAAAAGTATTTTCTGTAACCAGCAGTCTTATTCATCAGTTAGCATAAACAGCATTCATGACTGAGAAGTGTTGCATGAAACACACTGTTGGGATTTGTAAAAGACTCAGTACCTTTGCACTGAACCAAGTTTAAATTAAATACGGAGCTCCATTCTTGTGAAGAAGGTATCAGGCCACGAGCTCTCTGCATAAATCTCATGGGCAGTTTCAGAGTCTAACAGTGCAGCCAGAGCACACGAGTTTTCAGTTGGCTTGAAGAGAAACTTACAGTAGCTTACACTCATTATCATTTTTATTCATTTATCTTTTTGAGACAGGGTCTATCATGGTCCAGACTGGCCTCTAACTTGCTATGCAGCCCAGGCTGGCCTTGAACTCATGCTTTTTCTGCCTCTACCTCTGAGTTCTGGGATGACAGGCATTCACAACCTCAGCTGGCTTACATGTCCTCCTCCATCCCCTTTAAAAACCATAAAATATGAAAGCAATGCAATTGTACCTGCACAAACAGATAGGGAAGCCGAGTATAGAATCAGTGCCAAACTTTCAGACGTGTGTGTGTGTGTGTGTGTGTGTGTGTGTGTGTGTGTGTGTGTGTTTACTTGTATGAGGGCACACAGACATATGGAGGTCAAAGATTACTCCCTTGTAGGTCAAGTGCCTTTCTTGGCTGCTCTCAACTTTATTATTTGAGACAAGGTCTCTCCCTTAAACCCAGAGCTTGCTGATTCAATTTAAGGCAGCTTGTTCCAGGGCTCCCTTATCTCTGCCTCTTGAGCCCTGAGATGACAAGGCAGTCTCTGTGCCCACTCAGTGTTTCCATGGGTACTAGAAACTCAAACTCTAGCCTCCACGCTTCTGTAGCAAGTACTTTATCCACTGAGCCGTCTCCTCAGCAAGGCTTATACTTCAGTTGCTTGTGACACACTATGTATGGTTTTTCTCTCTGAAGGACCCTTTGTGAGGATGTCGTGTATAGCTGGCATCTGAGCTTCAGAGCCTTGAGCTGCGACACTGGAGCTTTCTGTGTGGCTGTGGGGATCTATCTCTGCTGTTCTGCACAGAGGTCAGGGCCTCTGGGCTCTTAAAATTGCCTTTTCGTGGCTGTCCTCTGAAGAGGCCGAGTGGGGCATCACCAGTTTGGTCCCTAGTAATGTGTATACTGCAAGGCTGTGTGTGTGTGTGTGGGGGGGGGGGGGGGGCGCTAAGGCTTCTGAGGAGTAGCAGAGGGACTGTCAGGAGTGTTGGGCCTGTGCAGGAGCCCAGGCCTTCATGAACGTTAGAGTTTCTTGCCAACAGACTGGTTGCTGATTACCCAGTCCGTAAAATCCAACCCTTTAAATCCAACTTCTGCTTAGCAATGCTTGTGAGCCTGCTGTGAGCAGAACTAGGTACTTGATGGTAATGTAAAAATTGTGACTCATCGGTCTCTCTCATACACATTAGTAAGGTTTACCATTATATATGCATCCTATTTTTGGAGACAGATTATAAGATGGATTTTTTGCCTAATGGCACAGACATCTGAAACTTATGAAGAATAATTATTATTATTTGGTGATAATTGACCTGTTTAAAAACTTTCTGAATATAAATGCCAGCACTTTTCATCCTTTTCCACCACAAGTGGACATAGTATACAATATTTTAAGAAGTCATTATTATAATAATTATTATTTTTGAGAGAGTCTTGTGTAACCTGGGCTAACTTTGAACTCTTGATACCTGAGATTCTACTTTCTTTGGGCTAGGATTAACAAATGGGTGGCACCATGCCCAACAAATTTATTGTTTCTGACTCAATCTGGCATGGTTGTTACTTAGCTTAAAAATGATTTTTTTTTGATCTACAAATAGAAAGGTTGGGAATTTAAATTAAAACTGTTTTGTCTTAGGGTTTCTATTGCTGTGAAGAGACACCATGACCATGGCAACTCTTATAAAGGAAAAAATTTAATTGGGATGGCTTATAGTTCAGAGGTTCAGTCCATTATTATCATGGTGGGACATGGTGGCGTGCAGGCAGACATGGTGCTGGAGAAGTGCTTATAGGCAACTAGAAGTGATGTGACTGTCATACTGAGTGACGCTTGAGAAAGAGACCTCAAAGGTTGTCCCCACAGTGGCACACTTCCTCCAACAAGGCCATACCTACTCCAACAAAGCCACACCTCCTAATAGTGCCACTCCCTGTGAGATTGTGGGGTGGGGGCAATTACATTAAAACTACAACACTGTTATAAAAAAATTGTATTAAAAGTTTGTTTGTAAGCATAAAGTTAGATAATAGCCAGGAAGCCATTAGGAATGATTTAGAATGGAAATGTGAGGTTCTATGGCACCAAGCACAGGTGTCAGTGGCCAGGGGCTTCTGGGAGGTGAGCGTAGTTAGAAGGATGGTTGTACATGATATGGTATTTGTAACTAACAGTCACGTGTCCCGATTGCAATTGTCTCCACAGTCAGAAAGCGTCTTCACTGCCTCCCATGGTTGGATCGAGGAGGTCTAAAGGGAGTGTAAGTATCAGCAGCTTTCCTCATTAATGTTCTAGCTCTACAGAGCCATCCTCTGGGTTTCAATTAAGTTCACAGGAATAAATCTTAGCTACCTGGAGGCACACAAGCAACTGTGTGAAACGTTACTAGAGTTTCAATGTAACAACTGAAGTCCTAAACAATAGCTAATGCCTGTTAGAAGATAGAATCCAAAACTTTTTCCTTTTTGATGCAACTTACGTTGTGGTTATGGTCTGAACAGGAATTCATAGCTGTGAGAAACTTGCTAGGTCACAGTAGTGCTTGGGTAGTCTGTGTCTAACAAAGACTAAGAGGAACTTTAGGTAAGAAAATGGCCACTCTTGGTTGTACTTCTCTGAAAAAAAAATCAAGAATTATCCTAAATGCTTCGTCCCACCCCAGATGCTTTCCCTGGCCATTCCCTCACTGTTGTTACCTGAGCAAGGATTGATGATGTGCCGGTGATGTGGGAATCAGAGCCTGCAATGGGTAGTTCATCTGCTAACAGTTCAGTCTGCACTGCAGCTCACCCTAACCTCCAGTCTACACTGCATCTCACCCTAACCTCCAGTCTACACTGCAGCTCACCCTAACCTCCAGTCTACACTGCAGCTTATCTCCCCCACCCCACCCCCTGATCCATAGTTCCCTTGAGGATGAAGTCCACTTTGTTTTGGAGGGCTGAGGTAGCAGGACTTTCTGGCCTAGGGTTCTCTGCTCTCTCTCAATGGCCTTAGCAGGAGTGATCAGAACTGATGTAGCGTTCCTACCCAACTCCAATTAGCTGAGCAGCAGTCATGTTCTGGTGTGTTGTAAGCACTTGGTGATCAGTGATATTGCCTCCTAATGGACAAGTACGTATCCTGTCCTGTGTGCTTGTTTCATGACATTCTTAATGAAAAGGAAAGATAATTTTGTGTTTGTGTTGTTGACTCTCATTCATGGAGACTGTGCTGCTTATGATAAAGAAAGCTCTTGTCCTCGATGCTCTTCACACTCTAAGGGAAAGACAGAAAATTACCTGGAAGGTTATGAACAGCCTGAAACTGAGTATCTAGCACATGACCACCGAGAACATAGAGTTTAAACACTGCCTCTGGGTGCCAGTGCAGAGTCTAGTGGATGCAGCTGAGGTAAGTGGTTTTAGGAGCACGGTGGTGTGAGTGAAGGAGAAATGGGTATGTGAAGATGCCAACATGGTAGCCAGGGTTCAGTGTCCACCCAAGACCCTACTGTGCCACGTTCTTTCCAGGACCTAATGGAAAGCCAAATAAGACCCATGAATTTAGGTTTTCTCTCCTTCTTCTCCTCCTCGTCCTTGTCCTCCTCCTCCTTCCTCCTTTTCCCTCCCCTTAAATTTCATCCTGAAGACATAACACAGGTGCCCCTGCTTTCTGTGCTTAAAATGGAAAACAAAGCAAAATGGGAAACATGAAGTGTAGAAGTAACAGGTCTCAGGCTTCCACTGAGCAAGCGGCAGGAGAGTGACAGTGTGCACCTGCTTGCTCTGAGCTATGGATTCCTATCCTTGCACCTTGTGGTCAGTGAATCTTTAGGCCAACTTCAGCAGAGACCCTTCATGTCTGTAGGGTGATGTGCCAGGAAGTCAATTTCTATATGACCATGAGCTCCAGCATGAAAGTACATCTTTATCCTTGAGTAGAGGGCGTCCTGAGAGCCTCTGAGAGGTTAAAAAAAAAAAAAAAAGCGTCATCCGAGTCAGTTGAAGAACCTCAGATCTTTTATGCAGAAAGAGACTTATGTGGGGTGATTCTATAGGCAAGCCACGGAAGTGGCCTAAGTAGAACATGGTGAGTCTAAACGAGGTAGGCAGCAAGGGAAACTGGAACTGATTATTATTCATGAAGAGACAGAGTTTGCTTGGTGATTGGGTAGATAGGGTTGCTGGAGAAGACAGAAACCAAGATAACCACAGGGTTTTGAGCTTGGATGCCAGAAAAAAGTGGTAGTTCAATGACCAGGAAGAGGACAGGCAGAAGAAAAAATTAACAATGGCTTCCTTTCAAATGTGCTGAATTGATTTGGCCAGCCACATAATGACCTAATTTGAGGTAGAGACTGTGTGGTACTGCCAGCACTTAGGACAGCTTGGCATGGCCCAGGCATCAGTAGTAGTATAGCTTGAGGGAATGGGTGAGTAGGAACCTGGAGGGGACAATTCAGTGATAACCCCAGGTGAACTAGCCTTAGAGAACCTAACCTCTCAGGGTGGAGAGTGAGTGAGACTTGGGTCAGTAGCTGAAAAGTATCTTCACCATTAAAAATGATAAATGAAATCCATGGGAGATTTATTTATTAAGGTTTATTTTTAAATATGTGTATGCCTTTGTGGGGCTATATGCACATGAATGCAGGTATCTGTCAAGGCTAGACAAGGGTGTCAGATGCCCTGAAGCTGGAGTTACAGGCTGCCTGTATGTGGGCGTTAGGAACTTGTGTGCTCTGCAAGAACAGCAAGCCTACTTAACCTCTGAACCATCTCTCTAGGCCCAAGACTTGTATTTTGTTCTCTGGCTTTCTGGAGGGCCTTGTGGCAGAATTCTTTTTGTGTACACATCATGCAAGTCTCAGCTCTTCACTCTCGTAATACAATGGACAAGCAGTGGTTAAACAGAAACCCAGTGTAGCTGAATAACTCACCCAGGGTCACAGAGAAAATGGATGGCAGGACTCAAGGCACAACCCAGCTCTTCATGTTCCCAGCCGTCGCACGTTGCAATTTTGTGTTTACAATATGAAATCTGAAAAGCTAAAGTTTTCATTAATGATGAAAGACTGTTCCTGCTCCAGGCACATGTTCCAGCACAGTCACGCAGTTTCCTTCCTTGCTCACTCCTGAGGAAGATTTCTGCATCCATTGTGAATACTGGTTCTCAGAATGATGATTGAGTATCCCAGTGTCTGGCTGGGGCTGAGTCCTGGGGGGGGGGGGACAGAGATAAGTAAACAGGCATGCCTCTCTTTGATGCTCGCAGTCTATTGCAGGAGACAACTGTTGACCCAACAATTCCATAAGTCAGTGCATAACTACAGAGTGTGATCAAATGGAAGGAAACTGCAGAACAGTGTGAGAGAAAATAAAGAGAAAACCAATTTAGATAGCCTCACTGAAGAAGTGACTCAAATATATAACGTATATTCCCGTTCAGTAGAAAAGAGGCTCAAAAGGTTAAACTTATCTCCACGCTATTAAAATACACAAATTAAAATGCATTTGTGTTTCTTCTCACAGCGCTGCTGTGTGTATCCATCTCTTCATTGCTCACTTTGTCAGTCACGCATCCATCTATTCTATCAGATATCCACCCGTTCACTCCATCAGCTCTCCATCCTTCTGCTCTCTCCACCATCCAGCCACACAATCATCCATCTGTACACTCTGTGAGCCATCCATTCACCCATTCTATGAGCCATCTACCTAGTCAGTCCATCAGCCACCCACCCATTCATCTCATCAGCCTTCCATCCGTCCTCTCTATCTGCCATTCATTTGTATGCTTCATCAGCTGTACATCCTTTTACTTTATCAGCCATGCATCCATCTAGTCCGATAGGAACCACTCTATCCATTTTATCAGCCATTCACCTATCCACTCTGCTAACCATCCACTCATCCAGTCCATCAGCCACACACTTATCCACCTACATCTGTATATCTTCTCTACCAGCCATGCACTTATCTGCTCTGGCATCCATCCATTCTCTCATTCATCCATCCACTCTACAAGCCACCCACTCACTTGTTCTATCACATGCAATCTATTCACTCTATCAACCTATTATATCAGTTTATTCATCTGATCAGCCATCCACTCAATACATATTTGTTGAGTATTTACTAAGTGCCAGGAACAACTATACACACTTAGTGTTACATGTATAAAGAGACTAATCAGGATCTTACACGGTATTCTTTCAAGACCTCATGTGTGTGCTAGGGCAATTCAGATTGGTTGGATAGAATATTCAACCACAAATATGTAGATGATTTCAGACAGGAATGAATGCTATAAGTGAACTAAAATACGGCAGGGCACTGACTTCATGTAAAAGTCTCTGAAGCTGAGATATTTGTGGTGTGCAGGAGCCAGTCACGCAGAAAGGAGAGGAAGGGGGAGGAGTTGAGGCGGAGTTATTCAGAGGAGCCAAAAGTATCCAGGTTGTTGGTCAAGAGCTTGATCGGTGAAAGGGAGGGGGAAGACCAGGGCAGTGAGCACTGAATGAAGTAGGAAGAGTAGGCAGGCCCAATCATAGACAAAGCAAGGCTTGATCCAGGCCTTCATGAGATGCCACTGAGGGACTTAAAGGAAGGATTCTAGTATTTGATTTGTACTTTTAAAGATGAAAACATTAAAATTATGTGTACGTATGTGTGTGTGTGTGTATGTGTGTATGTGTGTGTGTGAGTGTGTGTGTGTGTGTGTGTGTGTGTGTGTGTGTGTGTGTATGCACATGAATGCAGGTTTCTGTGGAGGCCAGAAGAGAGTGTCAGATTCCCTGCAGCTGGAGTTACAGGTGGTTGTGAGATGCCTGACTTGGGTCCTCTGCAAGAGCAGCATGTGCTCTTAACCACTGAGCCATCTCTCCAGCCCCTGATTTATGATTTTTAAAGCTCATATGGCAAACACAGATTGGGGAAAAAGTGGAAGTAAGAGGCAGAGGGTGCCTGGAATCCAAGTTTGGGATGAGGTAACTGGGCTCTGTGGCTGCAGGCTTGATGGTGTTTCTGTCTATTAGAAGTCAGTTTTGAGTGTTGCTGCTGCTCACCAGCTATTTGTTGAGTGCCCGTTCCTTCCTGGACACAGTGGCGGTACTTGGGTGTCTGAGATTTCAAAGCCCTGACTGTGTATAGGTTACCATTCTAGTGCACAAGAGAAGAGTAGGCCTGGTGCCTTTGATGTCAACCAAGGAAGAGCTTAAGGGACAGTCTGTTCAAACAAGGGAGGAGAGAGGAAGGCAAAGGTTGTGTTGCTGTGCGG